CTCTTCACCCCACGTCCCGCTTTCTCCCCCCTCCCCCCCCCCTCCCCTCAACCCGCTCGCGCGCTCCTCATTCTTACGTGAGATGAAGGGAGAGGCGCCAGGTAGGTGCGTACAAGCGGTACCGCGGTGCCCCGTGGCGAGGACTGAATAACTTCGTAATTGGGCCTCCTGGCCCATCGCCATTCACGCCTCCGTCACGCTACAAAGACGTCTCGCGAAGGCGCGGGAGCAAGCGAAATCCCCCCGGTAAGGTCCTCGTCGCGCGCGCTCGTCTTTCGCCGAATAATCGACTCCAAGTGAACATATCGGAAAGTAATTGACTTATCGTCTGACGTACTAATGAAAATCAACAATCTTGCATTATCTTTTTGCGCTCGAAAGCGTGCATTTTTATATGCTATTTACATACTCTAATATATGTAATACTAGCAAGTAAAGTATCTATTATTGCCATCGTTTCTTTGATCCATCCACGACATTTTTTGTACAACATTATCATTTATCAAACATTTCATGATATTTATTTTGAAATGTTTTGCCTCCAATTTTTGTATTTTATTTTTAAACTTTTTTTTACTTTTTCTAATATTGATAGCATCGATGGTGGCATCCTTATTTTTAATTAGATTTATTATAAAATCTAATTTTTACAAAATCGTTGCTTTTAAATCACGAATTTCCTCTTCCTTGCACGTTAGCCATACAGTGATGTTATCTTCATTTCGTTTCTTAATCCTCCTTTCATTGGTTTTTGTAGAAGATTATATTGATACTTTATGGTAAAGTGTTTACTCTTCTTCCACTCTTTCTGGCTTCCAGCATACTCATTATGTATACTAATGGAAATCTGATTAACCCGTGTCCGGGAATAATTGACGACGCATAATCGGATGTGTCTCATACTTTTTGTTGAAAGTGAAATATGGTCATGTATGAATGTCCTATTACGTTCTATTAAGGCGTATCATATGTTCATACGAGAGGTTTATATATGAGAAAATTATGCGCTTATAAATGTCGCGATATTTCAAGCTGATGAATGCAAGCGTTTTGAAGGTGGAGTTGTTAAAAAGGGAATAGTGTGAAATCGTAGACAGATGTAATTACATCGCATGTGCATACAAACTACATCTAAATTATTTATCGAGTCATCAAAACATTCTTCAAAAATATTATGATTCTTCAAAAACAATTTCGACAAAGTCAGTAATAATCGTTTCTAATCGGACTTTTCTAATATATATTTGCATATTAAATAGATATTTACTCTAACTTTGGATTCAATCGAGTCCGAGGATAGGCGGACCTGTGACCCAGTCGTACTCGTCGTCCTCTTCTTCGTCATTCTCTACCTCGATATAACTTGGCAATTCATCCCCGTGAATAAATTCGCTGTTATTCGCAGAACAGCGCTGAACCATTTTACTATGACCTGCGGTTTGCTCGATAGCAAAATCATCCTGATAATTCACTTTCGTGGTAGAGAACGATCGATCAAACATCATGTCGAACAGTCTGACATCTCTGTAATTACGCCATACGGAACAGCTCAACGTTACAAGTAATAATCGATTATCGATCGCAAGTGTGGTTATATAATATTGCAACAATTACTATGATAATAATAATCGCAGCCGTACAAGTTGCAAAATTATAAATTGCGAGATGAAGGATATTATTAATCATATTCAGAAGTGTTATTTTAATGAGGATATTATTTATCTTATTTGTTTATTAATTCCTAGATTTTGAAAATATGCAGGCTGGCGATAGAGATAAAACTTAAGACAAAATACTGACCTAGCAATAATTGAAACTCCGTCGTGGATTCCGCGCAGCGATTTGTGTATGGCACCTGTAGAATTCCAGACGATTGATTGATTAGGCATGATTGTGAACTTTTCATTATCTTTCTCCTGTTGTTCATATGGTATAATCACACGATCCGAGTCGCTCGATCTGTATTCCGTAGACATTTTTTTGACTTTGTCGTCCTTCTTGTCGTCTTTCTTTATTGTGCCGCTTTTTTTACATTCGTCTATCTCTCTGTACTCGCGATCTATTTGTTCCCTTATCGATTTCTCTATCTTGGGCTGTTTATCTGCAGTGACAAATAAGAAAATATTAAAATTAATTAAAAATTTAGTACAATGAGGCCTCTCTTTTTATATGGATCACAATATAAAGAGAAAAATAAGAATTTGTCATCTTTATAGAATTTACCTTTTGCGATGGACGGCGGATGTTTTTTCGTCGGTACTTCTTTGGGTTTTTTATCTGAAACAAAGAATAAAAATATTTCAGAATCAATTCAATATGCATAAACCAAAAAAAAAAAGAATTAAAAACTCGTAATTATCACAGACTTCATTTACCTTCATTTACTCTCATCGCTTTTTTTCTGTTAGAACAGTATTCTTCATGACGGGATTTTTGCGTGGGTTCGTGTAATTTCATGTCTTTATCATTCGACGTAGACAGACACGTTTGCTTTTTATCGGCGATCGATTTTTTCGTCAAACACTTAGGCGGATCTTTCACGCATTTCTTCTTGGCTTCATCTTTTTTGTCAGTGTCACATTTTTTCTTTGGTTTTTCGCACGACAGTTTTAAATCCTTTTCGTCCTTGCTACAGCTGGCGTAAAATTTCTGTGTCGTTTTCCTTGCCCCGTTCGTGCCAAGAACGATATCAGGAATCAAAGTGGAGAAAGATCTATGATCTCCCGAGACAGAGAAAATCGATTGTTGCGAGTAATGTCGTTTTCCGTCTGTTTTATTTTTATCGTAAGAAAAATCTCTTTTTTGATTTTTAGACTGTCCTCGGTTATTTTCAGTACACTTTTGTCGCTCTTTTTTGCGGATCTCGTGTTTTTCACGACTGCAGTCATTCTTTCCTTTCGATGGATCCGTGCAGACTACACGCGCTTCTTCACTAGTTTTGTGTCGTTCGCATGTTTGTAATTGCGGTTCTGGTTGAGAGATCAAAAATATAAGAGTAAATGAAAAAAAACTATAGGAAATATTGACTAATAAAATAAATATAAGTCATGAATAATAAATGGAAAATGAGGAAACTGGAAAAATTAAATTAAAATATTAATTATTACTAAATGTTAAATAAATTATAATGATGACACAATAAAAAATAATTTTAACTGCTTTGGATGTTACAAATATATTAATTTAAAATAGTATCATGTATAAAAATTAAATTAAGTTTGAATATATTAAAGGAGCATTATATATGTAATAATATAACAATAATGTCGTTTCGTATTACGTTTGACACATATCCTGCCGATATCCTGCTTTTGTGAATACTTAAAATCCTTCGATTGCCGCGCGTGATTCTTCGTCGCGTCTCGTCCTTTCGAGTCACAGTTTTGATGAGTGTTTTTGTCGTCGGGACGCTGCTCCTTCCGGCACTTCAACTTGCGTTGTAGCTCCGGACAAAGGTAACGTTCGCAGGACTCGGACTCATTCTTCCGTTGCTTCTTAGAAATGTCACTTTGGGACGAGACGTTTCTCTTATTGCGCGTGTCTTCCTGTTGTGAGCGATTTTTTTTGTGGATCTTCACATTCGATTCCTCGCAACGATTTTTAGCTTCCTCAGAGCGCGTGTTGCGTTCCGTGGTCTTCAAATCGCTTCGCCGATGATTGCCATCGAATTTTTCAGACTTGGAAGCGTCGTGAGAAAACGATTGCAGTTTCGCCGGCGACACGCAGTCTGCGATCGACGTTTATTAAGCGTTAAATGTAAAATGTTTTTCTTGTTAAATTATTATATACTTTGCATTTTAATTTGTCGTATATCTAACTTCTCCGTTTTTGTGTTAGTTAAATCGAATAGATATAATAAGTGAATTCAGTTTAATTTAAACAAAAATTATTACCTGGGATTTTTAATGCACCTGAATGCGATCGCGTGCTTTTCAGTCGAATGCTCGATACGTTCAGATCCTTTCTCGAGGTTATTCGAATGGACTTCTGAATAACGGTGCAACTTTTTGTGGAAAAAACACGACGCGGCATGGAAGTCAGACACGAGGAAAGCTTTCGAGATCCTTGATTTCTCGAACTTGTGAAATAAACAATTGTTTGCTGTTGACTTCGTTGCTTCATTGTATTTAAAAAGAGATCTTTTGGGATGTAACGAAAATCTTGACGTTTTACATTTCGAAATTGCAATTCTGAAGATTGTGGCAAGTTTTGTCTTTGCGAAAATTGATTATCTTGTGGTTTAAATTGATCCTCTGAATGTTGCTCGTTAGTTTTTTTAAATTTTGATTCTATAGGAGAGAAATTATTTATGTTTTTCGCAGTGATACAAGCCGATGAATTGTTAGTCCGAGCTTGTTCGATCTTAAGATCAATTATAGGTGCTTCATTTTCTTGTGTGGAAAATATTTTTGAAACGCGATCACGATAATCAGTTTTATCAATGGTCACTTTATTATTGCCGCGTACAAAGTCAAAATCACCAGTCAGAACATTTGGAAGGGTTGTGCAGCACTTGTTTCTGGATGAGCTTTTATCTAGCAACGATAACAAGTCATTATATTTCGTAAGAGGCTTTAATGCTTCCAGACGTTTCGTATTTATTTCCAAGAGTGAGAAAGTCATTGGTACTCGAAAATTTAAAGTCATCATGACAGGTAAAGTCATCCATGGTGTAGAGATGGATTCCGGATCGTAGAAAACTGTTAATGAGTTAATTTTCTTCGTCTCACAAGCATTTTCTTCTTTACGAGAAGCGTTGAGAAAGCTCCAAAAGCAACGCTTAACCGTGTTTGTAGATGCGAGCGTTTCATGCTAATTTATCACAAATAAAAATATTATTTATAAATAATAAGAGAACATATTTCACATTTTTATATTCTTATTAATTTAAAATATTGTCGATTTTAATTTTATATATAATATTTTAACTGCAAGCTTATCTTAAAAATATAAGATTTTATAAATAATATTAATTATTTTTAATACACAATTTATGAGAAAATGTAATTTTTAATACACAGATCAAAATAAAATCACACAGAAATTTTTTTAGAATACTATATTATTTCAACTTTCAATATTTTTATCATATTGTGTACAATCAAATGACAACTTTAATTTTTATAGTTGACAAAACTTTATAAATACCTGCAAAGATTTAACGGATAATATGTGTGATAAATCTTGCAATGCGCATATTCTGAATCCATTCATCCTTGTTTAGACATGTGATAATTTTTTAAATTAAAATAATATAAAAATTTGATCTACTTAAAAATTTTGAAGGTTCGAAATATTGGAAAACTTTGTTGTAAATGTCAAGATTAGTCCGAAGCTTTACCAGATCGTTTCGATATTATGCTCGACAATCGAAAATCGATTTGCCTCGCGGATATGAAAACATACGGGCTGGCGAAGTAATATAATTTGAAGAGGTCATCAGTATTTGTATTTCCTCAAATTCCACAGGATTCCATTAAATATTTCAAATATAAATTTAAAGAAATGGATAAAAATAATTATTGTGATAAATAACGGCGATAATGATCGATTTCTTGTCATTTCTTTAATGATTAGTGGGGATATCATTGCTAAATATCGGTTACAAAATTTTCTGACGATGAAACTGCATTATCCGCTCCCGTGCCTTTGATTGAAAAATCTTATTACGCAGAAAAATCTGATCGGACAGCGGTCGAATGGATGTAATATAATATCTGCATTTGTGCTGTAGTTTTTAATGTAATGTAACGCAATGCTCGCCGCACCAACGAGTTTAATGATCAGCGAACGTGACTCTACGCTTGCTGGCGTGCGCTTTTCTTCCTTCGCGAGCCTTGACCTTCTTGGGAAACGAAAACTTTAAAGTCTCGAGGTGCTCGTCAGATTCCTTCTCGACATGTCCACTACCATCTCTCGCACTATTGTCGGGCGCGGTCTGTTGCACCGCACTCCAAAATTCACTCTATATACACAAAAATGATTAAAACTATTAAAAATTGTGATTTATAACAAAAAAATATTACAATTTATCAATATTATTATACAATTTTGAATTCTGTAATTTACAAATTATAGAATAACACACAAATTATTATTACGATTATTATCGTGAAAAATTTAATTTCTTTTTATTATTTTAAGAGGAAATATTGTAAAAGGAAATCTCTCTCTCTCTCTCTCTCTCTCTCTCTCTCTCTCTCTCTCTTTCTCTGCGTATTGTGTTTTGATGGTTACTTGGCATTGAGCGGTGGCAGTTGACTGGTTCGGATTCTGTTTTGATAGTCGCGCGGTGCGCGGACTTCCATCCAGCAAAACTCGCTCTTGGTTGTTCTCCATTGATCGAGAATCGAGCGAAACGGATCACATAACTTCGTCTCGTTACTGTCGTGAGCATGAACCTTCGCGATACACATTATAAGCTAATTTGATTCGAAAGCTTTTTTGCATTTTCAATATAATTTAAATCAGACGAATTGGTCAAAATAAATATTCAAGAAATGTAAACACATTTATCGTAACAAAATGTGAAATAGCAATTGTGTTCCCACCAATGTAGTGTTCTTGAGAGTAGAGAGCAATCTTCGTGATATGTGGATCCTGTTTCTATTCATGTTCCACTTTCGACGTAATATAAAATTTCTATAACAATTATTTTCACAAAGAAATTTTCACTTTTTTATAACCAAAAAAAGACGTCACTGCGTTTCACGTTGGAAAACAGATTACGATCGGAATTCTGAGATGTAAATATTTGTTATTTAATTTCAATGCGCAATACTTACGACATGAATATGTGCAAAAATTACATTTTCTTGGAGGAATTATAAAGCGCGCACAGTAGCATGATTTATAAAAGGAACAGACGCAAAAAGGTTTAATATACAATTTTCTCCAGTAATTATTCGTATTATCCGTTCATATATCTCGCAGTTATTAAATCACATAATTATCGCGTGCATATTGTATGGGCATTATCGCGTGCGCGCTGTCATTTGCGAGGAGTATACCGTGCCGCAATCACCGTGTTGCACAATACCGTCTATCCACGCCGAGTGCATCTACGAAGCGTTACTTAATCCGTGTAAGGGTGTTGTAGAACTTGGAACTTGGTCTACGTCGTTTCCGACCGCATTAACGAGCCAAGTTCTCGTCGTTGACGGCTGATACTCGCGGGGAGTAATTTAAGCGCGCGCTTAGTTGCAGGCAGTGCAACATAGTTAATGAGTAGAATTCGCCAGAGCATCAGAACGCAAGCACGAAGTTGCACGGGAGAGTTGTATGTCGAACGGAAAAGCGAGCTTTTGAAGAAAATCGGCTACACTCGCGCGCACTCATGCAGCCGATTTATTGTTTTATGATTCTTAAAAATATAAATTTCTTCAGACGGTTCTAAGATTAATCGACGAAACTAAAAGCAGGGACATAATTATAATATTAAACGCTGAAGCAGCTGTTTAATAAAGGGAAGAGAGTTGTGCAAAAGTAAAAATAAAGCGCATTTGGCGTATTTTAAAGGCTGCGAGTATGAACAAATATAAATTATGACACGATTGGCTGGCCGCGTGGGTGGCAAAGGCAGGTGCGCCTGTCCAAAAAGGAGAGTAGCCTCTTCGCATTGGTCCATCCGTGGTTTCCATGGACGCGAATAATCGATCTGTTCGCCGCTGACGTTTGTCTCTTCCACAGAGCATGCTCCAAATGAAACCCGGCTTTCCTCGGTCGAGACATCGCGTAATCGACGTGGATGTATTATTACATATATTATGAGATGTTTACTCAACACAAGTAATTTTAGCGATTAAATGCTGAGTTTAAAGTTCTTCTTTGAAATTAATTCAGAAACTCGACGGAATTATGACTCAATGTACCAATTGTGAAATATAAAATGAAATTTATATGCCGCGATTACCGGATTAAATGTTATTATGATAACAATCTTTATAACGATTCTTTATAACAATTGCGATAATATTTGTATCAATATGTTGACAAAATTAATACTATTTGTAACATTTATTATAATTTCTCGTAATATAAATAACAAAATATTCGTTTACTGTCACATTATTTACATTAATTAATGATATCGCCATCGATATACTCGTCGACGCAATCGGTTAATTGCACGTGAACGCAGGCGTCTCTTGTATACGCGATATTTCATCATTATTTCTTCAACTCTATTTATATAACGCTTCCCGCTCGAATGTGTTATATGAAATTTATTTGTAATTTAATGTTGCCTCGTAAACCCAGCTGTGCCGGACGATCGGATGCGTCCACCGATTTTGTTTCGAGCTTGCTGTCAGATCGCTCAGGTAGTCTGACTCCGTATTACGTTACCCGCTCGGCACTCGCTCGATTGCGTTCACTCGCGCTGCCGACCGGACGTCACCTGACTTTAACTTTGTTTTGAATTAATCGAACTCGAGACGTCCGCGGAGAAATGCACCCGCGTCTCGCGCGTGCGGTGCTCATTAAGTAAAATTGATTGCCGTCATATTCATAAGCGCACTGATTTAGTTAGACATTGAACCAAATAAATTCATTATACGCGAATCAAATCAATTCCGTTCTCTAATAGAGTGAAAAATTTAATTTATCTAATTCCTGAGTAAATTTTTATTACAGGTTAATTATTCCAATTCTGAGATAAATTGATATTGCTTTTGAATCGATATTGATCATATTGATTTTTTTATATTCTTACCATGAGAAAATCATGGTATTCAGAAATCTGCTATTAACGGATGATACGGTTAATCTTTTATATTTTACATTATTTTTAATCTCTTCAAGGCTTGCGTTTATGTGTACGTTTGGTTTTATTTAATTTAATATTAATATCATATTTATATAAATTTTGTTAAAAAATTAAGATACTTAGTACATTACATAATGCATATTAATTTTAGTAGAGGAATACAAGTGACATTTTAGAAAAGAGATTTTCAATACGTACTTATCTAATAATCATAAATATTAATAAAACTTTCAAATTTTTTACTAAAAAATAAAAAAATTTAAAGTTTCTATGTCTAATATTTTGCAACTAACGGAAATGATTACTTACCTTAAAATTGCTCTTTCGGTGCCCTTCCTGAGCCATTTTTCTCTTCTTCGCAGTTCTTTAAAGCACTCACACGCATTCGCGAATATGAAAATTGCACGATGTTTTAAACGACACTCCCAACGCGTACTTTGTTATTTGGACAAAGTAAAACTCGAATATTATTGCACGGATTACATGTTTGACACTGCCGCGTCTGTAACAAGTAACGACGGAAAGGATGAGATCAAAAACAACAAAATAATGAGGATATTATTGGAAAGGATAAAACGCTGAATACGGAACGATTTACTCTGTACGAAGTGCCGCGATGCGAACAATAAAAATGCAATAACCCGAGTCGAAATTTTTAGCCTAGATTAAACCTACAAGTTTTGTCGAATTTGGAGAACCAATGTAAGCTTTAATTCATATATATAGATATAACATTACATTGGCTATTGCCCTCCTTTGATACTAAAAATTGTTACTTATTGCCGTTTTTTCCATGTGGAAGCTCAAAAGAGTACCTACTGAGAACCTCTAAAAAGGCTCCAGGTTCTATAAATATGTATTTCTAGAAAATAAATATTCAAAATTACTTAATAATCTATTACCTCATATACTCTACTTGCATTTAATGTATGGATCTTGATTTCAATAAACAATATATTAATTATTATAATTTGCTTAACTGTAAATAGGCTACTATAAGCAAATATTATATAAATAATATTCACTTATCTCTTACATATCTATCTGCAGTTAAGTAAATTACATAATTAATGTATTGCGCTTATTGAAATTAAGATATGCATTAAATACAAATAAAGTAAATTGTGGTAATAGAATATTAAATAATTTCAAATTATAGGTCAAATATGTAATAAAATATTAAATAAAATTTTGAATTTCAATTGTTTTTTATTTATTCGAATAAATTTTTAGTTATTTATAATACTAAATATAATACTGAGTTGCACTTAATTTTTTAAAATATTTTTTGCTATTCATTTGTTATTATTTATTTTATATTATAACATTTATTATATTAATCTGAAATAATAAAAATTGAACTCAATTATAGATTAAATATTAATATTTTTATTGCTAGAAATTTTGATAAGATTTGGAGATTCAAAAGAGATAGGAGTTGTAAGAACGAAAGTAGGAATTGTATATTTAACATCAATAAAAACAAGGGTTTTCTAGGACAACAAGATTAAAGAAAGGCCAAAAGAAGACATAACACTTTCAAGATAGAACTTGTAGGTCAAGGAACATTATTAGAGGCACAAATAACCATGTATGAGGTTTATAGTAGGTTTTAAATTTCGACTCGGGAAACCTATATCAGGGATAAAGTCGCTTTGATTCTGATTTAGGAGATTGTGCTGAAGTGGCTGTGTCAGCTTAATAGACGTGAGTTGTTCACAAGTTGATCTATGACATACAAAGTACATCCAAATTATAACAGCGTTTAAAATAATTATTTGAAACATAATTTGTTGTGTATTTAACTCTTACTTATCTCTTTTATGCAACTATCTAATAATCATAAATATTAAAACTTGCAAATTTTTTTACTGAAAAATCAAAAAATTTAAAGTTTCTAAGTGTAATATTTTACATGCAATATTTTGCAAATAACGGAAATGATTACTTACCCTAAAATTGCTCTGTCGGTGTTTGATGCCCTTTCTGAACCTTCTCCTCCTCTCCTCTTCCTTGCAGTTCCTCAAAGTACTCACACGCATTCGCGACGTGAATACGAAAATCGCACGATATTTTAAACGGCACTCTCGACGCGTACGTTCTTATTCGGACAAAGTAAAACTCGAATATTATCGCATGAATTACACGTTCGATACTATCACATCCGACGCCTGATGCTCTTCCTGAGCCTTCTCATTCTCTCAGTCCTCCTTACAACTCTTCAAGACATTCGTTACGCGAATGAAACGAGGAAAAAGAACTAAAATTGATTTTTTTAAATCAAGAATTTCTCTGTGCGATTAATATTCTTTCTGAAGCATTAATATCGAGCAACGTTCTTGAAAAAAAATCAGAACAAAATAAGAAATAAGAATATTCACGTACATTTAACTTTGGTCTTACCTTTTTGATTCGACGCCTTTGCAATCAGCCCTTCACCAATGCTTAAATCCTCACAGCTTTTTACTGCAAGAAGTATTTGTGGCAGATCAGACCGCATATAGATGCATCTGTACATTGTATAGTCAGTTACATTGTCAGTTACATTTCTTAATAAAAAGAAAAATTGACGTTGAAACGATGTTTTAAACGACACTCCCGCCGCGTACTTTGTCATTCGGACAAAATAAAACCCAAATATTGCACAGATTACATATATATTACATATAAGTAATATATGTAATAATAATCAAAGATAGGCGTCGAAGACAGGCGACTAATATATATTAGTCAGTTATTATATAATAATTATATTATATATTATATTATATTATATTATATTATATTATATATTAGTCAGTTATTATATAATAATTATATTATATTATATTATATATATTATATTATATTATATATTAGTCAGTTATTATATATTGATCGGTTGTCCGACGCTTATCTTCCATTTTTTTTTATCCTGACAGTCCTTTTCTGCCAAATTTGTCGCACTCATAACTTTTGCGATTCCCTGCTTTTAATTGGTTTTGGTTTCCTCTTTGCCGATGTTCCATTGATTGCCGTACCATTATCACATCACGAAAAGTAATCGATATAAATTATTCTTTTGTTGAATTCCAATAGCTATAACTTGATCATTGTTCAAAATTTCAACGCAGTTTCTTTCGAACATGATCTTATATCCTCATTCAATACATATGCCCAGTGAGAGAAGATTTAAAGATTGAACAAATAATATATTTTCTAATCTTCCATTAATCCATTTATTATTAATAAGTCTTTTGATTATTATTGTTCCATTCATCCTTTAACATCACATAAGTACCATCAGCCTACGCTGACTTGCACCAATCTCAAGTCTTTTTGCGGTGGGTCCACTTCCGACCAATCGTCACCTTTAATACGATGTATAATTAT